GAGCTCAGGCAGCAGGCTGCGGAGTTGGAGAGAAAGCTAAAAGAGCTCACCCAGATCCATAAGATTCTGCGGGAAGGGCAGGAGCTCTCCCAGATCTATGGCGTCTGCAGCAGGGACGCTCAGTTACCACCTGAGCAGTCCAGGAGCAAGGCACGCTGTCACCAGTGTGGAAGAATTTTATCTGAGGGAGAGGAAAACACTATGCAACTGAGTATTAAGGAGTTTGGCATTTCTGTAGCTAAGTAAGGCATGGGTTAATGCAGATAGTAACTGGGTTCAAGACAAGGCAGGAAATAAAGCTATGGAGTCTGGATAAACCCCAAAACTATTGCCCTGAAATAATCTTTAAACCTTAAGCCAAAAAGATCCCCTAAAGTTTTCTTAAAACCAAACGATAGTTTAGCTTCACCAGTAAAATGTTGTCTGCCTTGGGACATATGCTCTTTGAAGAGTGATCTGCATGGGATCCAATTGACAACAGCAACTGGAGTGATTAGGTAAGAAATTTAGAGAGCAGTGCATTTGTGCGATGGGGGAGGAACCACTTTGAAAAGGAGGGTGAGAATGCATGACTTGGAGAATGTCATCAGCGTCACTGAATTGTACATGAAGAAACTATTGAATTGGTGCATGTTTCACTGTATATTCTCAATAACAACAAAAATACTTTAATTTTTTTTTTTTTTTTTACAAAGATAAGGCAGGAAAGCCGGAGCCTGAAACAAGACAGGAGAGGCAACTGGAGAGTAAGGGCAATGGGAAGAAAGTTTATTTTGCACTAAAGAGGATATTGGGAGCATGAATGGAGAAGGAGGCGTGAATTAATGAGTTGAAATGGGAGAAAGCCAGAGTGCGAGTTGTTGGAATACAGGAGAGGTATTAGTCGTTCCACTGTCAACCCTCATGCTTTGTTGTCCCAGCAAGAGAGAAGACTTTCCCAGGTGGTGGCCTCTAGCCTTGTTGTTGTTGTTACATGCTGTCAAGTTGGCTCGGAGTCAGTGACTCCATGTACAATAGAACAAAACACTGCCCGGTCCTGTGCCATTCTCACAATTCTTGCTGCGCTTGAGTCCAGCACTGCAGCCACTGTGTCAGTCCATCTCGTTGAGGGTTTCCCATTTTTTGCTGACCCTCTGCTTTCCCAAGCATCACATCCTTCTCCAGGGAATGGTCTCTTCTGACAACATGATCAAAGTAGGTGAGATGAAGTCTGGCCATCCTTGCTTCCAAGAAGAAGCATTGTGGCTGAACTTCTTCCAGGACAGATTTGTTAGTTCTTTTGGCAGTCCACGGTACTTTCAGTATTCTCTGCCAACACAGTTCAAAAGCATCAACTCTTTGTTGGTCCTCCTTACTCATTGTCCAGCTTTCATATGCATATGAGGTGATTGAAAATACCATGGCTTGGGTTAGACATACATTAGTCTTCAAAGTGACATCTTCTCAACACTTTAAAAAGGTCTTTTGCAGTAGATTTGTGCAGTGCAATACGACATCTGATTTTTTGACTGATGTTTCCAGATGTTGATTGTGGATCCAAGCAAAATGAAATCCCTGACAACTTCAATCTTTTCCCATATATTGTGATGCTGCTTATCGGTCCAGTTATGAGGACTTTCATTATGTTGGGGTGTAATCTATACTGAAGATTGCAGTTTTTGATCTTCATCAGTAAGTGCTTCAAATATCTTCACTTTCAGCAAGCAAGGTTGTGTCAT